AACAGTAATTAAAAATGCCATATATACAACACCACAGTAATGACTGCTTTCCCAAAATAAATCTAGGGGGTGTTTGGTAGGTGGATTTTTTTGAGAATGCTAGGAAAGTAGTAGATGGGATTCACAAATGACCATGTTTGGGAGTAGGGAAAATTTGCCTAGGAAAAAAAAATTTGATGGGGAAATTTTTGTAGTATAAAAATGAAGGAAAATGCCCACTTGGGAATACCACCTTGATGGTGGTATTTTGATTTCCCCAGCAAACTCAAACTAGTAGCAATTTTATACCAAAATTTTCCTTGTAATATTTCGGCCTACCAAACAACTTTTTTTAACTTTCCCAAAAAAATCATTTCCCCACCATTTCCCCGGTAATTGTATATCCCTGGTAAAAAAAAATTTCTCCTCTACCAAACGCCCCCCTAGAGAGTTCAGGTTGAACATAAATTTATATAAAAATCAACTCAATAGCAAAATAAACATCAACACTACCTCACCAGAATTACAGCAGCATAATGTCTGGCTGATCATATTATTGTAAATAACAAATATACACAATACTTTTCTCCATTGTTAAAGTCAGTTAATCAAAATTCATGCACAAAAATATTCCTATTTGCAGCCTGAAATGTAAAATGTTGATAGTTGAAAAACTACAACATTTTCTCCAAGATTAAGATTCTTGCAGCAAAGAATGCTCACCCAACAGCAAATATATCCATAGATGGCTTTAATGAGGTATCTTGTGGCACCTGCATCTCCCCTCCATGTTCGTAAAACCTCTGAAAAGCCATAGCCCCAAAAAAAATGAACGAAAGAAAGAAATAGAGAGAACGAGAGTGAATTAGTAACATAAACGAAAGAAAGAAATAGAGAGAATGAGAGTGAATTAGTAACATAACCATGTTAAGTAAGAACAACTAGTGACCAACAAGATAACACAAGTAGTGGCACACCAGAAGGTTAACATTTTGCCACACTAATTGCATTTTCTTTTTCTTTTTTGTTTTAAATAAACAACAATGAACAATCCCTGTACAATAATTTTACAGTACAGGTCAAAATTGTTAACATACAAAAAACAAAGCCTAGATATTGGCTCTCTAAGATCATGAAAGATTTTAGGTTCACCTCAGTTTCAATTCTAAAGCATATTGATAGACAAAAATTATAAACATAAGTGTCTTTGGTCTAATTGAGTCATCAAGGTCACTCGCTTACTTCACCATTTAATTAAGCCTCTAAACAGAAGGTTACCTGGTAAGCATTACATGCATCTTTATACTAAAATTTACATTAATTGAAAAAAGGAGAGAAAACATAGCAATATCATATGCAATAGTTTCACAAGACAACATGTAAGATCTAACTTCTAACTCGATAATAGAACAAGAGCATCATGATCATGGTTGAATTAACAAAATGAAATAAGATATTATACAACAAAAATAAATCAAATAGCAATAGAAGGAAAAGAAACCAACCTCAGGAGCTAGATAACAGAGTCTTCTTCCACCAGTATCAAAGAAAAAAGAGAAATCTGATGGGTCATCATATGGAATGTAAGTGGGTTTGAAAGATGCAAAGTCAGCAAGGTAAAGCCAATTCGAGGACGTAATCAGCACATTCTCACACTTGATATCACCTACAAAAATGCAAATTTATACAAATAACATCAAATCATTAAGACAAGATACCGCCAGTTAATAGATCCTTCTCAGCTCCACTCTCTCTTCTCTAATTTTCTATGTCTTTGAAGGCTAGGCTTAAATTAAATCAAGACTTACCATGACATACTCCTTTCTCGTGGCACTGTTTTACAGCTAAAAGCAACTGCATATAACCCCCACACACCAAAAAAAAAAAAAAAACAGAAGAAACAGTTAATTAAAATATAAAGCCATCGGATACTAAAATTTTAGCAAAGTGGATGAGTGAAGAAGACCTGAAAAGCCAACCATTTCTTCTCAACGGGACTAAGAAAAGGCCGAGTGCTTAATCGATCATGCAGATTATGAAAGAAATATTGCCTCAAAAGGTATGCTGCTTTATCTGTTTCTTGCCAAAACTGCAAGCAGACACAGCCACATGAGGAATCTAAACTAGAGGGATCTACTGAGAGAGATAAAAAAAAATAGTAGGAAAAGTAGACAAAGTTCCACACAATTAATCGAACACATCAACATTACCTAATTTATTTGGGTTGGGATGATGAACCCAAACAGATTGAGCAGAAAAAACAAAATATTTATATATAGGGAAGGATCTTTTAACTCCAGAGTAAGACTTAAAAGTCTTACTTTTCATCCCAGCCGTTGATTCCTGTCCATCTAACGGTTATAATTTAATAAGTTATAACAATTAATTAATTATTAATTTCAAATAAATGATAACCGTTAGATGAACAGAAATCAACGGCTGGGATGAGGAGTAACATTTTTAAATCTTACTCTACAGTCAAATGATCCCTCCCCTATATGTATATATGCATAATACATAAATAAAAACATAGACAAGATTTACACTGACTATGCTAAAAGCATTCTTTTCATCCTAAGAAATATGCCTATATATTTTTTCACTTCAATAATTTTAGTAGTTTGCGCGCCGGTTAAATTTCGGTTCCAATAAATCTGAACATTCATCTCATTTTTCTTTACTGTTCTTTCCTAAAAAAAGCGCAAATTAGCACAAGTATTTTCAGCATCCAAACAGAGCATGAAAATTCCCTCAAACTACACACTTACATAAACCAAAACAATGTCTCTTTCAAATTGAACTATTTTCATTTTGTTACGTCAAAGTTGAGAACATTAAGCTCTTCAAATTCAAATAGACTCAGCATTCAGCAACAGAAACACGACGCAAGCACTTAATTCAAAATCCAAAAAAAAAGGTAAAGTAATGGAAATTCGGACCTGAAAGGGCCAAACGTGAGGGTGTTCAATGGCGCTGAAAATGTCCTTGATCTGAGAGAGACGGCGCTCGTAATCAGAGAGATCGAGAAAATCACCACGCTTGAAATAGACCTTGACGAGGACCAAACCCTCGTCGTGCTTGCACTGAATCGACTTGAAGAAACGACCGCGTCCAAGCACCTCCTTCAGCACCAGATTGTACGTCGACGGCAAGTCGTGTAGGTAGTACTCCGACGCCGAAACTTGCGTCGTTCGCGCGATTTTGTTCCCCATCGATGAATCACCGTCGCAGAAGCACTTTTTCTTACTCCTAACTTCCCATCGCGTTTTGCGTTTCGCGCTTTGTGATTATTGAATAAAAACGTTTCGGATTCGGAGTTTGTTGGTACACTCGAAACCTTGAAGCTGGATTGAACCCTCTCCGGTACTCTCAGGCTCATCTGATTTTGCGTACAGTTCTAGCTAACAGGTTCGTTCATTGGACTTTTTGTACATGAGTGCAACACAAGGTCTTTTACAACGTCAGGAAAAACTAAAATAAAAAATGAAATGAGTAATAATATCCAATGCTACTATTGATAACTAACTAATTCTTTTTAACTTAGCATATTTTAACTATCAAAAATTATCACTAATAACTTATTATCCATCACATCACTGTTGGATCAAAGAGAAAAAATGTTAAAAAGGTTTTGAAGAGAGAGAAAATGTTAATTTAACGGTGATTAAATAGGTAGTAAGTTGGTAGTAAAAAAATTTGTTAGTGAGAATATCTCTCCTCATTCTTTTGAATGTATTATTGTTTTTAAGATTTTTTTGTGGCCGTTATTTTTAATCTTATGATTTCAGTGTAATATTTTTTGAAAAAAATGTTTGTTATTTTTGGGTTGTTTTTTAGAAGAAAGTTATATTTACAACCTAGTTTCATTTACAACCTCTTAAAATCATATCTTAACCGTTGATTTCCGTCAATCAACGGTTATTATTTATTGTGAATTAATAATTAATTAATAAATTTGATTTGCGAAAATCTTAACCGTTAATTGATAGAAATCAACGGTTAAGATATGATTGTAAGAGGTTGTAAACAAAAATAGATTATAACTATAATCTTCTCCTCCAAAAAATTTTCACTCTTTCTTTGGAAAAAAGAGAATATAAAAAGTCATTAAACATGTATCAAGACACAGCCTTTAAAATAATAAATATTTTTTCCTTAATTTTTATTAACAAAGGGAGCACGTTTCCATATTATTAAAAATTAAATACCGAAGTACTATTATCCAAAGAGGACACAATTAACACCAAAAAAAAAAAAAAAAAAACGAGGACACAATTAGAACTTTTCCCTACTTTAATCAAAATGATATACTAATATTTTCTTAACGGTAATTTCTAAAAACCTAGTATCTACCGAACGGTTTTTTTTTATCTGTGTAATGATTTTTATTAATTAACAAAAAGAAACTCGTTTTCATAGTAAGAAGAAGTTTAACTAGTTTATATTAAGTTATGTATTCAATATTCAAGTTTCACTTTTGTATAAAAATAAAAAAAATTAAGTACCAAACACAGTACACAATTAGAACTTTTCTCTTCTTTATTCTAAATGAGAAACGAATATTTTCTCAACGGGCGTTTCTAAAAGACTAGCATTGATTAAACGTTTAGTAAGTATTACTTTCTATCGTTCCAGACGTTCTTCATTCGTATTAATGCGTATGAATTACTTTTTGTTGCCATTACATTCTGCCAATTAATCTATACCTTTTTAAATATTCAATTTCCTTTACGAATTGCATTCATTTGACAAATAAAAAAAATTATCTCCCATCATCATCTACATACAAGTAATCAAATTGTGCTAGGTTGCTCTCCTCCACGAGTCAAAAAGTAACACGTTAAGAATCTCATGGTATAGACTATAGAGGACTTCCTCAGACAAGTTAATAAATAAACAACAAAAGGAAGAAGTTAAAAAAAAAAACAACCGTAGAATGAAATTTACACGTTCAAAGGCTCAAACATCAGTTAAAAGGGTTTATCATCTATCATTTAACATGACCACAAAAAATTTCCTACACACAACATTTTGTGAAGCTCGCAGCAAAAAAAAAAACTTCGGCACGCAAAACAAATCTCTATAACATAACACAATCACTTTTTTTACAACATAACTCTTATAAAACCCTTAAAAGAAATATACATCATATAGCATCTAAACCAATTTCAGTGGACCTTGTCAGTAAAATTGCTATCAATCATTCACTACTTTCCTGCTTTCAACCTCAAATACAAAAAAACGAAAAGAGAATAGATAATTTAAACAATTTTCCATTTTGGAAGTTTCCAATACTTGTGCACCAAAAAATATGTCAGATGCAAAAATTTGCATTTGAATCCCCTTCAGATGGGTTATAACTTGTAAACAGGCTCAATACCAAGGAGATAAAAGCACTTCCTCATCACAATTGCAGTTGCTTCACATAGCAAGAGTCTACTAGCTTCCTCAGCCGACCCAACAACCTGACAATGGTAAGAGTTAAATTAGATGGCTTAAATCAAAAAAAAAAAAAAAAAATTGGTACAAGCTTAAATCAAAACTTTATTCTTTCACCGCACCTTACATAGAAATCTAGATTATGTATGAAACCCCATCGGAAGTAATATTCCGAGAAAATATTATGGATAAAGGAGAGATATCAGCTGATAATACTTTACAAAATATCACGAGGTACTCTAATCTTTAACACGAGTCACGGAAATAAAACAAATTTTCCACTGGCAGGTTTAAGCATACCTCAATCACTAGTAAATAGGAATAGAAAGGGCATAGAAACTTAAATAGGCAGCATAAGCAAATGGCTTTAGAAGTATACCTGACAATTCGTATAAAATTTTTTTGTAAAGATTTCGGCCAAATTATAGAGGTATTCACACAACACATTGGGCAATAAATTGACGCATGCTTCCTCAAAAGCCTGAAAAATAACAGAGCCCACATGAGTGTAAGTATCTTTTAGATTATAGAAAAATATGCAGGAATGACCAGCCGCTTTAATCATATGATATCTCAAGTCTTTTGCTCAAAGAAAATGGAGCCCCAGCAGCAAAGTTATAAATGTTACAAGTCTATTACGCAAATGTCCAAAGCTCAAGAAGAAGAACATTTACTATTGACATGTCCTACCTCGGGAAATTGTACCAAATGAAGCCCCAATGCACGTTCATCTTCATGAACCAACACTATATTCCCATTCTGTCACAACAATTTCAAAAACATGAAGTTGACAGGAAGAAATATGCACAAGTTGGTATCTAGCTCACTGACTACATATAAACACATGAAATACTGATGGGCCTGAGATAATTAGTTAGTAAGTAAGGGATTGTTCTAGAATATTCTAAAAGAATAGGATAAAAGGAGGGAAGTGTGTGTAGTGAGGTAGGCATGTATTGAGCATTTGGTGAGTGGGGAATTTGGGGATCTCTTGGAGCCTAGGGTAGTTGGTTCTAAGGGTGAATTGAGGTCTTTTGGTGTATTTTTTATGCATTTAATCTTTGTAAGGAGCTTGTCTCCATTTCTGTTTAAATCAATTTCAGTAATATTTTTCTGGGTTCCATCAAATAGTAAGTTATATCACAATTATATTACATGACTGCTGAACTCACTGGTATCAAGTCAACCATGGTAGGGTACAAACCTACCGCACAACTCTTATACTTGTATATCATATTGTAAAATTAAGCATTACTAAACATATAATACCAAAATAATTAAATCAAATATTAGCTTTTTATAATAAATATTTAATAAACTGGTAAGTCATAATCCTGGGAAGAAAAATAAACTTACTCGCTTTACTTCTTCTATGTCTTTACCAGATTTCCTGATAATGGAACAGATCCTAGCATGTGCATACTGCAAATAAACAGCGGTATTCCCCTGTTTCAAAACAAGATTAGGAAAGTGAGACATAAATAGACTTCCGATCAGTAATTAGTTTTGTTGCGGATGAAGAAAGAGGTCAACAACTGCTAATGAAAATTTCATGGACATATCTCAACTCTTTAGACAGAAATTTAAAAAAACAAAAACAAAAACAAAAACAAAAACAAAACCAAAAAACAAAAACTTTCAACCACTAAAGTGAAGTATGCAATTTCAAGGGTCAACTGCAAGTGATAACCACTAAAGAGAACATCACAGAAATTGGGTTATCAGAAATCAAATGGTTTGTTATCCATGTGTTTGTATTTTATCAAAATTTAGACCATTACTCTAGGAAGTTACCCTATACATCAGATAATCCTTATTATGGGGAAAAAAGAGCGCGAGAGAGCCTATAAATAATGATCATTAAATCTACTAGCTCCTTCACTGTAACTTCTCACAACCATAGTTTCAAAACATTGATATTTTCAACAATGGCTATCAACCACAAATTACTCTTGAAAGTTACCCTATAATTCAAACAATTCTTGTTATGTGGAAAAAAAAGCAGGATAGGGCCATAAATAATGGTCACTGAATCTGCTAGCTCCTTCGTTGTAATTTCTCACAGGCACACACTCGAAATTTGCATGTAGTTAATGCACCTTATCATTAAGCATCTGATCAAAGTTGAATGTGTAATTCGTTAATCTGTTGATCTTCAAGTCAGCATACCTGAAAACACAAAATAAAGACAAACATAAGGGGCTACAAGGCTACAACTCGTTTAGCATTCTCATCATAGGCATAAGCAAACTACAAGTGAAAGACTTGTTAATTCAAAGAAAAACCATATGTAGAACCATAAGTTACTGAAACAAATCCTCATAACTGTCGAACAAAAAAACAATACCTGGTCAGGCATTTAGCAGGAAAAATCACAAAAAGGTAACCTAGCAAACTCATGCTTTACTTTTGTTATGATCATTCTATTTAGCATTTAGCACAAATAATCAGAAACATCAAAGTGAAAACTAGTACTTTTTAACAAGATTCAGAGCATTAGCTCAGAATTAAAAGCACTATGTATATAACATCAACATCACCTATATCTAAAATAATGAAGTTGGCAGTTGATGAATCCAAATAAAAAGCAAAAAGAGATCGAGGGAAAATAAAAAATAAATAAGAAAAGAAACTGTGTACATAACACTTTTAAAAATTCAGTCAACAGGAACTAGTTAGCCAATACATCCGACTCCACATTAACACAAATAATATAGTCCTACAAAAACAGAGTTAAAGGAACCTACTTAACAGCCCCATAACCAATTGTCTCTGCTGTTTTTTCTATCTCCTCCTCGGACCAATCTTTAGCTGTATCCAAAAGAACATAGGATTTGCATATCATAAGATTAAGTTTCTGATGACTACAATCTCACTAAATAAGATTAATATAAGCACATGCATTTCTAGATCTTAATCAAGCATGAATTCACATCATGGATAAGGAAGAAGTTAGCACTAGGCAACTGATACTTTACCTCGTTCAAGAAGGGCAACTTTACAGCGCCTTTTAGCTTCATCAAGCAAATCAACCAATCGAACAACCTCACTGCTGCGACTTCGGAATCTTTTTCCATCATCCCCAAGAACAAGACCAAAACCTATGTGAGTACATTTTGGATATTCATTTTCATCTTTTGGCAGCCAACCTGCACGCCTATAGGCCTGATAGGAATATTGGCAATAGCATTAGCAATATGTAATTTTCCATGACTTCTCACTTTTCAAAAAATGAAAAAGTACTATGAAATTACTGATTATTTATTGCAACAAAGAAAAGCAATTTGAACAGAAAATAATTTTTTAAGGATGCCACCAGCAAAACACAGACAAGTTAATAAATAACCAAGGACAGCTCCCTACTGGCAAAAGCAAGTAGAAAGGGTTCTTGTGACAACAATAAAATGCAGTAACCATAAGATACCATGAAATCATCACTTGAGACATACCCTCCATAGCATATCAAAGTGTTGAAATTGCCCAACGTCGGTAACATATACAATCCACTCGAGTTTTTCTTCATTCAGACGATACCTATATGGTTCAAGTAGCTCAGATAAGCAAAACAGTTCATTTTCTTCAGTAGAAATATTTCCTGTTTCGTACTTACAAAAATGCAGATATAAAAATAGGTATCCCAAAATTTACATGAAGGGCAGTTTAGAGATATCCAAGATAAAAAAAAAAAAAAAAGGCAAACCCCATTGATAAAGACTCCACAACTTTGCAAAGATGGGCGGAGGGTCGATTGTTCGTAGCCTTACCCTTACATTTTTTGCAAAGAGGCTGATTTCAAGACTTGAATCTGTGATTTTCTGGTCACAAGGGAGCAACTATACAATTGCTCCAAGAGTCACCCTCATAGACATACAAGATAAATTTGACATAATTCATAGCAAAGTTTGACCACTCAAGTATGCCAGCAACTCTAACATGATTTCCGGCAGGAGAGAGAGGGAAGGGGGGCACTCCCCGTTTAACCATGTCTGGCGAAGGTGGGGTGAGGACAATCCTTGTATGCAACCTTACCCTTACATATATACAAAGAAGTTGTTTCCTGGATTCGAAACCGTGACCTTTCAAAGTGTGCCAACAACTCTAATAGGATTTCCAAAAAGAAAAAACTCCCCATTAAACCCATTCTAGTGTAGGTAAAGTGAAGACGATCCTTGTACGCAGCCTTAACCTTGCATATATGCAAAGAGGCTATTTCCCGGATTCAAATCTATGACTTTCAGTCACAAAGGAGTAGTTTTACCACTACTCCAAGCTTTCCCTCTATAAACTACTCCCCATTAAAGCCCGACTAGCAAGGCTAGGGGTGAGAACAATCCTTGTACGCAGTCTTACCCATACATATTTGCAAAGAAGCAATTTCCTGAATTCAAAACCTGTGTCCTTTCAGTCACAAAAGAGTAACTTTACCACTGCTCTAAACTCGCCCTCTTTAATATGATTTCCAAAAATATGTATGAAAAACTAAAGTAGTAAAACTAACCAAAGTGCTGCTAGATCAGTTGTACAATAGTTGTAGCCACCATCACTCTTCACAGCAATAAGTGGTATGTTTACACCCTCAACAAATATCACACGAGCGCCATCATTTTCTTCAATCAGTCCTAATTTATCCAGTTTCTCCAAAACCATAGGTATATATGGATTATAGAAGCTCTCTCCCTGTGACCAAATATATCATCTTTCAGTACACTGTATAAAAATGTCACAACTACTGATTCAAGTAAAAATATCTGTAATCACTGCAACATAATAAACTAAATATATTCAACTGATTTATAGCAACACTGTATACACACAATAAAGATAACTTTCCCGCAAATGCTAAAGCCTGGAAATCAATCAAGCAAATGGAGGAACCACGTTTAATACAAAATACATATTTTAAACTTAGTTGAGAATGCAATTCCAATAGGAAACCAAAGTTAGCAAACATCTTATTGGAAAGAGAGACTATGCCAGTTCCTAAGGTTATTTTAAGCAAACGGACAAAACCAAAGCCACAACATGAACTGAATAACCTAACAAATATTAGGCAAGCATAGAGTTCTTAGTGGTCTAATAATTGATTGACAAAACAGCTTGGAAATTCCTCCTGGAAGGTACCAAAAAATGGACATCACAGTTAAACTCCAGAATCAGTAAAAAAAAGGAAACTAGAACCCTTACCCTTTCCTCCAATCGAACTCCAAGCCGTTGATAGACCTTGTCAAATTCAGTCCTACTAACATCACAAATTTGTTGCCATGCCTTGCGATAACTAAGTTCTCCCCCCTGAAATCAAAATTAATACATGCATCAAATTAAAAACCATGTTCACAAAGATCACATTGCAGGAGAAAGGGAAAATCTCAAGGTATAATTTACCTGGAGCTTGACCACTGCCTGTTGTGCCCTCAGCTTAAATTCAGGATCACTATCAAACTTCACTTTCGAGGCTTTATAGAATGCCTAAAAAAGCACCAATTTAAATGAGCTTCATAATCACTGATAATATTCACTTTTCCAGTGAAACACAGATGTTTTATTATCATCATATCTCATATGTATGTGACAAAAACCATACGAAGAAACTTAGAGACAATTAATGAGAACAGTATCCCTCAAGATCTATTAACATTGTCATTTCAGGGTTGATGGTTCATTTATAATAATTGACAAAGAGCAATATTCATAGTCAAACATAAACCCAAACAATTATTTCTGACTTAACTCCTTAACGTCTTTCAACTTAAAAAGAAAAGGAAAAATGACAATAGAAATTTGGAGCTGATTTCAAATGGCAAATCTATATGTTAAAAAAGATTATTCGCAAACAAAGCATAAACAACTATTTACAGCAATATACGCAGAGAAACCAAATGCTTTTTATAAGGCTTTGCTTGAGTGAAAATAGAAGTACATATTTTCTAGCTAGGTTTAATGGCATTTATAGCATGTTTACTCCTTAATAACATGGAATGTTATAGTTTTTACTTCCATCATCAAATTAATCAATTAGAATGAGATGAGCATGCGGCAAATGAACTAAAAACAATGTAAGATATGAACAGAAGTACCAACATAAGAACATATGATTAAACACCTAAATAAGAAAAATTGGAATAAAGTGCATTTTAATATTTTTTTTCTCACCTGAAGATCTCCAATGGCTGCTTCATTAACATCATCTGCGTTTGGAAAATTTTCAAAGAGGTATGAAATCAGCATCCCAAACTGCAAAGCAAATGCACGGAATTGAGCCTTATGGTGCGAATAACAAAATGAGAAGAGAGATAATCAAAATGCTCTGCTCCTATGAAAAATCAATGGACATGCCTACTTTAGTAACTAAATGAAATAATTCAATATCTATACTATTTTCCTCGGGGATGGAACAATTTCTTAGGACATCAGCTGTTTTAGGTTAAACAACAGATATGAATATCAGAGAACACACATTATAACTTCATCCAATTACAAGAAGGAATGTGATACATGTTCTTGATCGTGAAGACAGTTAGAAAAATCAACTTACATTAGCCCTTGGCCTTGTCCCAAACATAACTAGTTTTCAAGCCACCAAGTAATGCTAACAAACATAGGCTTGTCAAGTTAAATGATTGCCGCTAATGAATTACTCAAAGTCATGAGGTATATTAAGAAACCTAGCTTTGACGGGGTATAGCAAAGATCTAGTCACAAGAAATGGCAGAAAACATTTAACCTCATATTAAACATGCACTAATTTCAACTTTATGGCACAAAAATAGCATGACTTCGAAAGACAAATCTACCTGTGTTCCCCAGTCACCAATATGATTTCGGCGGATAACACATTCCACGCGACAAAATTCAAGCATTCGACATAATGTATCCCCAATAATGGTAGATCTCAGGTGACCAACATGCATTTCCTTTGCTATATTCGGTGAGGAAAAATCAATCAGAACCCTCTTGATTGGGAGTCGAGGTGACAAAGCATCAATACCATCACTTAGCATCTTCTGTACTCTCTGCAGGAGGGAATTTCTTCTTTTTAAGTACTAATGGATCTCTTCAATAAGCTCAATAATCCAAACAAAAACTTAACTCTCTTCATACGAGCACCCTTCCAATCAACTCAGACACATGGTACATTATATTTCCAATTTATAACTAGAAGACAGAAAAAGCAGTCACCTGCGCGATATATTTCTTTGATAAGACAACATTGACAAATCCGGGACCGGCAGTTGAGCACGATTCTATCATTTCGGATGCCGGAAGATTGTCAATGATGGCCTACACAAACAAAAAACATACATGTTATCATTTGACGATATCGAATCATAATCTAATTTCAAAATCAGTAATTAGTAATAGGATTGAAAAGAAAATACATACGGGTAGGGGGGAACAAAAAGTAAGGGAATTATACCTTTCCAATAGATGGGGGACCCCTAAATCCTGTCTGCTTTCCTTTCACCTTAGCCCATAGGCTCATTGCATTATTACTGCATCAAGAAAAAGAGAAATTAGTTAGCTTTAGAAAGGAACCACGAGTCATTAATTTGCTTATATGGGTAGTTGCAATATTTTGGACATGCACAATGCAATTTAAAAAAAAACCCTTAAATTTCACATATACCTTAGTAAAGGATAAAAAAAACTGAACTCACCATTGATAATCAGCAAATCTTACACCAGATTTTGCAACGCAAGCATCAACCAAGGGCACTACATCTGGCTCATCAGGGACAGTTTTCCTCAGAGATTCCTCAAAGAGCTTCGCTAACTGCCTTTTGACACTAGAAGGATTATCTATTTCCTACATCCAAAAACATAAGCAAAAAAGCACCATCTTATTTTCATGCGCAACAACAAAACAATTCAGTGTTGAAAGTGAAAACAAATTAAACAAATAAATAAATAATTTATTTTAATTTAGGAAATGGGAACTCAATGAACTTACAATTAACATGGTGGATATGGATTGTGTCTTAGTTGCACTGCTATATGCAACCTTTGGTGAATCTGTGTACACAACAACAACAACAATAATCGAACAAAACGGTGTCGTGTTAGTGAATCAGGCCTTGAAATAATTTTAACAACATTGAAGCAATGAAGAAGAATAGAAAGAGAGGGAGCTTAATTCAGCATAAAACAAGGAAAAGGAAAGTGAAAGAAAATGAGACGGCGCGTCCTAGTAAGAGGGTTTTAAGCACACTAACCCTAGTTGCTTCTTCTTTTTTTAGGAGCAAATTCAATTGATTCATGTGGGGACCACCACTACTACGGTACAGAATGATTTTATTTTTATTTTTTTAATTTCGCATGGACTTTTCAGCTATGAAGCACCGACACTTCAAAAATTCTGACGTGTCGTGTCCGACACTTTCCGACAGTTTCGGACACCCCGACACTCCAACACGCGTTATAAAAATTCAAAAAAAGGTTCAAAGGTTGCGTTACGTTCAGTTTTTAGTTCCAACTATTAGATTCGTTGGATTGTGATTACCATTTTATTGAATTTAATATAAAATATCTGGGATATCTTATGTTTCTTTGCAAAATTTATGAATATTATAAGTTTAGATTCATTTTTTTGGTAAATTATTGAATATTAAATATAATATTCAGTACATAAATAAAAAATATTATTTAATATCAAAATCTAACATTTTTTAGAATTAACGTGTCGTATTGTGTCACGTGTCTCGTGTTCGGTCCTATATAGCTTTTCAGTTATTCAAATCTAGTGTTAAAAAGAAAAACAAAAACAAAAAATTCTTAAATAACAGATTCTTCAGCACAGAAAATCCAATCTGCCAAATGAAGATGGGTGAGGCCAGTTTAATAAATTTTTATTGCATCATATCATAGAATCTATCAATTATTTTGTGATATATGGATAAAAAATATTTTATTATTTACTTTTTTTTAAATAATGTGATATTTTTTATTTATATATTACCAACTAAATAGACAAAAATACTTAATATAATATATCTGATGCACTAAAAATTTACTCCAATTTCGCCACTAGTAAGGACTAATTTCCTAGTTCCAAAGGGTTTTAAATAGGAAAGTCTTTTCAGGAAAAAAAAAATAAAAATATTCATGCCTTCCCCCTCCATAGAGAATATTGAAGGAGAACAGATCATGTCAATAATCATTTTGCTTCTAATATTGTGAATATAAAGTTTGCAATGAAATCTAATTGCCTTAAGAAATACACGAGAACTTAACCAGAAAAAGCACAAAGGTGAATAACAAACAAGTTAAAAAATGCCAAGAGAGGAAGAAGCTGTATTTTGTTTTGTATAAATCCCTTTTCCATATTGTTACTCACATTTTTGCAATATCAGCTCCTTTGAGAGACTTCAGGGTCTTGTACTCACAGTACAAATTGTCTTTTCCAAAGAAGTATTTTGATTTGTATATACGTATGTACAAAATGCCTTTTTTGTTTTTCCTACCAAATTGTTGCAGTGAAATACGATTTCAACTGGTGTCTTGTGACGTAACTCTGGTTTATCTCCTTCACAAAAAGGTGAATAAAATGCAGCATAGCTAAAGCTTCCAAGACCAGAGTATGAACTCATAAAGCCTCCATGATAAATGAAATTAATTATAATTATTGAGTTGATACGAAGAAGATATGGTAAAATCAATTAACTGTGACAGTTAATACTAATGAAACAATTTGAGAATGATAACTCGCCAATAGATGACAAAAACAATTATTCCCATAATCCATTCGGAAGATACCGACAAAATCTTTGAGTTGCTAGATAGCTTCTTAAAACTTCTAAAACTTTATCCATACGAGATGAGGAAACAATAAACTTTATCAAGACCAGATCAAGTCAAAATACTCATCAGCCAGTACCATCCTTAAAAGTTTTAGAACCAAGGCAACAAAGGCATATCAGTTTGAACAAAAAAAAAATACCAAATGGTTGATGAGAATACAAAAATCTCATTGGTCCTTCAAAACAACAAATACCCAATATTTGTGTAGAACTAATGTATTTAATGCCTAAAAATTATGACTGACATTTGTGGTTATCAGGAATTACCGTGGGATATTTTCAAGTAAATCTTCACTAGATAAATTTTCATTAGAATCATATATGATTACTTGAGAAGTAAATGAAGAAGGAAGAAAATTCAGCTATACCAATGCAAGATTCGATGACAGTGGCAGAAAACAACACCCTTGCAAAGCTGGTATATCAAGCTCTGCGAACAAATCCACAAAATCAAAGAAAAATTCAAACAAGAAGCCTTAAAGTTACTCAATAGCACAACTTAAATTGAAAAAGAAAAAAGACCCCGATGAAATTTCAAAGTTAAAGGACAAACACCCAATGATAACATATGAAGCAAGCAGAAAAATCCTAAGATAACATGCAGAAAAATCCTAAGAAAAACATATAAAGCCATTCAGGAGAAAAAAAACTTGTGAATGGAAACCGTACCTTTGTAAAGAAGAAGAAGCACTAGTTGAAGCAAGAAGAAATCAGAAGAGAAGAAGAACTAAGAGAAGGAGGAGGAGGAAAAATCGGGCGTGGAGAAGAAGAACGACAATAAAGAGAAATTAGGGCCCTGTTTGATTGTGTTCTGGTTTTTTTGTTCTTAAAACTGTTTTGTAAAATAGTTATGGAAACAGTTGTTTTCTATACTTTTTCTTTTTGAAAGTTAAAAACCAAAACAGAAAACAAAAACAACTCACATGTTCTCTAAATTTGATTTTAAAAATTAAAAAAAAAACAGTTATAGTTTTCAAAACATTTTTTACAAAACAAGTCTTACCAAACGAGTTTTTTTGTTTTTTTTTTCCGAAAACTAAAAAACTGTTTTACAAAACAGAAATCAAACAGATCCTAGGTTTTGATGCGGTTCACCCTTCTGTAACTCAAAAGGAACGAGGGCTGGAAAAAAACCCTACTAAATGAGGGCTAAAAACTCACGGGCCTTTTTGACAGAACGGTGGGGGCGGGTTCTATGCAGTAAGGTACACGTAAGATAATGCTGATTGTGCAAAAAGGGCTCGGTGTCAATTTTGGCCTATTGGGTCAGCCCATATAACCCATTGAAAATTTTAAAATTAATTAATTAATTTTTTAATTTATATAACATAATTCTTATTTATAGCATAAAAAGTGTTTTTGTTCTGACTGAATCAATCAAACTAATTCATGTAGTTTGACGCAAGTATTTTGGGATGAGCTAAATTCTCACCATCCTAATTGAAAATTTTCAAATTGTGTATAATGTTTTGGTATGCCTACATTTGGGCAAAATGAGTATACTAATGTAATTTTAAAAATTAATTACTAAAGTAATTTACTTTTTTGTATAAATACTAGAGTAATTTACTTTTCAAACATATAATAGTCATTTTCATACATTGACTAGACAAGACTAGTACTGCACGTCAGCCAGGATCTGGATCCTCTCATGTGAAGAAAAAATAACATGTTTATGGGAGAGTTATAATCATACAAAAGTGGATCAATGGTAATAAAGGAAGAAAAAAAAGAATAGTATAATAGGTAGTTACAAAATCATAACCGTTGATTTATTTTTTTATGATTGTGATCTTCCCACATAATCATATCATGTTTTATTCTACATGAGAGAATCCATTCCCTATCAGCCATGTGATACTTACGGTTGTTATATGTTGACAAGTCTTGTACATGTCACACTCGTTGTAGTTGACAAGTCTTACATAGTTAGCATGCAATATTTATTGGTTGAAAAGATTTGGAGAGATATCAAGTATTACGCAGAAAACCCTTCCAGCATTGAGGAAGTCAACGGTACTCTGATCACTTTGATCCCCAAAGTTCCTAAGCCAATGTATGTTTCTCAATTCAGGCCTATTTCTTTGTGTAATGTCATTTATAAGGGTACGAGCAAGATCATTGTGGATAGGCTTAAGCTTACAATGGAGAATTTATTTTCTCCTTACCAAGCTAGCTTCGTGCCAAATCGTCAGCTTCAGGATAATATTATAGTAGCAAAGGAGCTGGTTCATTCTATGGGGAGAGTAAAAGGAAAGAAAGGTACAATAGCAATCAAACTGGACCTTGAAAAAGCTTATGATAAACTCAGTTGGAGTTTTATCTATAAAGTGCTTATTGAAGTTCAGTTTCCTGATTGGATGATTGGTGTTATAATGGCTTCTATAACTTATAATCGTTTGAGGGTCTTGATAAATGGTGTGGCTTCGGATTGCATAGTTCCTCAGAGAGGAATTCATCAAGGGGATCCAATCTCTCCTTATATTTTTGTGTTGTGTGTTGAGAAGCTTTCCCACTTGATCGCTGAAAAAGTGACTATGGGTTCGTGGAAGCCTATTAGAGTCTGCAGAAGAGGGCCGAGTGTATCCCACCTTTTATTTGCAGATGATATCATTCTCTTCGCGGAAGCAGATATGGAGCAAGCTAAGGTGATTATGGATTGTATTAATCTCTTTTGTGAGATGTCGGGGCAAAGTGTTAGTGCAAATAAATCTTTGATTTATTTTTCCCCGAATACTGATACTCAAGTTGCTGCAAGGATTGTCAACAGAATGGGCTTTAAGCGCACTTCTAGTATTGGCAGATATTTAGGCTTTATTGTTAAACAAGGGAGATATATTAAAGCAGACTATGGAGCTATCAAGGATAGGATACGTTCAAAACTGGATGGTTGGAAAAGCCATTGCCTTTCTTTTGCTGGTCGAGTTACTTTGGTGAAATCGGTCATTGTTGCAATCCCTTCTTTCCATATGCAGAATGGTCTTTTACCAATAACGTTTTGTGATGAAATTGAGCAGATACAAAGGGCTTTCATTTGGGGAGATCAGGATAGCAGAAGGCGGGCTCATTTAGTAGCTTGGGATCAAATGTATAAACCCAAAGATAGAGGTGGTTTAGGAATAATTAATCTTCGACTCCAAAATGAAGCTTATATTCATAAACTGGCGTGGAAGGTGTTAACTAAGAAAATGATTTATGGGTTAAGATTTTAGTAGCCAAGTATGGTAGAGGTCAAGACTTAAGGAGAGGTATAAAGGCAAAATCATATGACTCTAAACTTTGGCGTGATCTTGCTAAATGTTGGAGTAATTTCCTTGCTGGTCTTAGATGGGAAATAGCAGATGGTTCTGAAGTAAAGCTTTGGACTGATAACTGGTTGGGAT